AGGGTAGATTAGTCATTTTATTTATGTTAAGTTATCTGCTTATGTGGCAGTTTTAATAGAGACTTCCTATCCCATACTTAAGTGGGGGCAGTTTAGTCTTTGTACTACTAATTAGAGGCTAATCCATATTAAGGGTCAACCGATAGGGTTTAGTCTATCAAGTTCGACTGTTCTCTTCATCTTCTTCTTCTTCTCTTCTCCTAGTTCGATCTACTGTAGCTACAGAACAAACAAATGTACTTTTTTGTTCTTTTTTATAGGTGATCTCCCATCACTCGTCCTTGTACTCTTTTTCTTTTACATCTAATAAAATTTTCTTTTTTATTTACTTCTAAAAGAACAAATATTGGTGGATTAATTTTATAGAATTTAAGTCTGACTAATAGATGAACATACAGATTCTCATGGCCCTAGATAGGTAAAGATGAAAGCCCTTCCTAGTTTTCTTTTACAATTCTTGGAAGGTAAACCTCATCTTTACACAGATAGTAACTGTTTGGGCATCAGGTGCCCTTTGAAGTCTAGGTAATCAGTTGCTCCTCGAAGTCTAAGCCTTCAATAAAGAGCGGCCAAAGCATGTTTTAGAATCTCTCTAATACCATTTTTTGGTTTCTCAAATAGTCAAATGTCAACATTGAAGCACCAAATGGGTAAATTCTTTGGAACCTTTTAGTCTTGGAAATACCAAAATCCTTAGGGATTTTTTCATGTACCAAGTTTTCAACAAGTTTCTTCTATTACCGGTTAAACAGAATGAGATACATATTATGGTCAAAATAGATAAGTTTAACTTTGGGATTGAAAATTATTAGCAATATGAAAATCCATAAAATAAAAGGGAAACAAAAAACAGATGAATTAAATTTCAAAATAATCAGAAGTTTTTAACCAATGTAGTACCTAAATGTTGATGAAGCTTTGGATCAAGAACTTGAGTAATTGATGCTAGACTACTAAGTTGTGTTTCCACTCCAACAGAACTGTTTGTGCATCTGAAGTTTCCTCTCTTTAAAAATCAAATGGCAATGCATACTATAAGCAACTCAAACTAAATGGATGAAGAAAATAATAATAAGAGAGAAATCTGCAAAAGTTCCATAACAATAACTGTTTGCACATACAAAAGAACTATAAGCACTAGAACAACTGAAATATTGAACTGAACATGGAATGCACTAAGTTTTTTAATAAATAGAGAAAGAAACTTCTCAGGATTTGTTGTGTTATACAAAACAAAATATATGGGACCAGATGAATAGACATGGCTCACTAATATCCATATGAGCATACTGGAAAATGACAACCATAATCAGCAAGGCCTTAACTAATTAGTTTCTAAGATTTGCAGTTTCTTGATTTATTCATTACTTTTGGTCTGTAAATAATTTTTTTTATTTTTAGACTCAATGTATTAGGTATTCGATCTGATGTAATAATAATAGAAATTAGGTTTTCCATTTATTTTATTTTGGATCGAAGATGGCGGTGCAAGGAAGGAGATTTCGCAGATGGGACATTTGCTACCTGCGATTTGCAGTTT